TTATTTTACTTTCTCCAGGATGAAAGATGTGGTCTGGCAGAAGTGGAGGAAGAATACAGGTACCTAATGACAATTACTGGATTAGCAGTCCAGAAGATCCACTTCCGGACACCGAGGGTTGCATTATCGTTAAAAACCTTAGTAACAATTTTTAACTGGTTGCCCTTGCTGGGGCCCAGAGAAAAACTGTTCCTGGTCCAGAACCTGCTCTTGATGCTCCCCCCGCTTTTTTCCCTTTGATCTGATCAGTGATCAGCTACTTTTCTTTTTAACTTCGGCAATTATTCTAAACATTCACTTTAAATGAAGGTTTGTTCTCAAACTTCCAAATAAACTCTCCTCCTACTTCACATAGAAATGCAATAACATCAGGTATCATTTCTTTCAATTTAATGCTTCTCATACATCTCTCTAGATTGACAACACACAGTCCCATGAGCCTTGGAAGATGTGGAGGCCTCTACTATTCAAAGTTAATCCTTTACCAGGGTCCTTGATTTTGTATCTTCCCATCTCCTGAGATAGTTGGCCTCATCAATGTATTTTCTTTAATTCCCTATCCCCCAGTGTATAAGTTGTCTAAATTTCTTTCTATTTAAAAAATAGTCTTCATGTTTCTTTTTGTCTACTAGCATCTGATTTTTCTCTTGACTTGCTATCTCACGCACTTTTTACAAAAAAACCCAACCAAACAAACCCCAGAACCCCAATTCCTATTCATCTTTCATTCTCATTTTGCCCTATACATTCTGACTTCTGCCTGGGACCAACCCATTAAACATGCTCTTGAGATCACAGAAGACCTCATAAGTGGTAAATCCCATAGATGCTTTTCAGTCTTCATTTTTCTGACCTTCTCTGCTGCACTTGATACAGTTGCTTATTTGCTCTCGCCTGGTGTGCAGGATTCCATGTCCTCACCTCCCTCCTTGTTCCTCTTTGACCATTTATTCTTAGTCACCTTTGGAGACACCACCCTGCTGCCTCCTCAGGTTGGCATGCCATAGAGTTCCAACCTTGTTCAGCTCCTTGTCTTTCTCTAAAAGTTCTTCCTAGAAAAATATGGTTTGGCGGGCGCCTGGGTGGCTCAGTTGGTTGAGCGACTGCCTTCGGCTCAGGTCATGATCCTGGAGTCCCTGGATCAAGTCCCGCAACGGGCTCCCTGCTCGGCAGGGAGCCTGCTTCTCCCTCTGACCCTCTCCCCTCTCATGTGCTCTCTCTCTCTCATTCTCTCTCTCAAATAAATAAATAAATAAATCTTAAAAAAAAATAAAAGAAAATATGGTTTGGCTTTAATAACCACTTTTATGCTACCGGCTACCAGATCTTTAACTTCAGTCAGTATTTTTCTCCTCAGCTTCAGATTTGTATTTCTAATTGCTGTCTGGACATGTTCACTGAATGTTCTCAAATGGAATACAAGCCAAATGAAACTCAGCATCTCCCAATGACCAGCCCATCCTATTCCTACTCTGTTTCTTCAAATCAGTTTGTAGCACCACCTTCCACACATTCTTCTTGCTCCTAGGCATCCTTTTCCAATTATGTTTTGAAATATGGTTCCCTTACCCAATCTGATCTTGTTGGATTTTGTTTTTATTAATCCCCCCCTTGTTCTCTTTGTGCTTTGCAAATAATGTATCTGTATCTTTTCTCTCATATCAAAGGATTTGAGGTGGCAACAAGAGGCTGTAGCCTGAACATACACAATAATAACATCTTATACCGAAACTAGTGGTATTATATTTTTACATAACTGAATTGTGTGATTTGATAAACAAATCCACATTCAACATATATTATAAAATAAAGGAATAACTTTTTGTGGTTGGCATATGGTATCTCAAAGTTTTTAAGTATTTTAAAACTGTTTTTATTTGAATTGCTTGTTAATATTGTTATAAAAAATGCAAGTCCAAAGATTTAAGGGCAAGCAGTTGCCAGGTAAGTGCTACAAAAAGTGTTTATGAAATCCATATGCATAGTTTGAGAGAGACCATACACGGATGATGGCCAAGATTACACTTAATCCACACTTGGAAAAGTTAGGAATATTTGCCCATCAGTGAGGTCATACATTCCAGGCAGCAGAGCCGATGCTCTGCTTGCTAAGTTAGGATGCATTTTATTTTAAAATTAAAAATACACATATAGTTACATACCCACCCACATCCCTTCTGCGTGCACACGTGCACACACACACATATGTGCATGCACACACACACAAACACAGACACTTAACCACACCAGCTCTTGCCAATATATACCTGGAGGAATGTCCATAAGGATGCTGAACAGTAGACGATTTATGAATCTAGTGCAACATCACAGCCAGCCACCACCACTGACACTAGATTGTAATTTTGTACTTGGTTTTGCTACCACTCTTTCATATAAAACAGTAAACTGAAGTGATTTTCAAATATGTGGGAGACCAAGGGGAAATCTTTTCTGCTTCTAGTAAGCACAGAATGCTATTAATGAGCCACAGATTGCTTCCCTACAACGCAATGCACTTAGCCACTTCCTCTGTGCTCACAGAAGCTGCGATTATTAAATTCTAAAGCAGTAGTTTGAAAAATGACTTCGTTTTTGAGAATTTGTAGGATATATATCTTTATAAATTTTATTTCTGCTTGCCATGGGGAGCTGAGTGTCTGCTACTGACTTAAAGTTTATATAGCACTTTGAGCTTCTGGGGTTAAAGAGAGAGGATTACAAAGAAAGGTAAGAATATTAAAAAAGGGTAAGAAGGGAATATTGGGCCCTGTGGATTTTTTTTCTCATGCAATTATGTTTATTTTAATAGAAATTCTACGTGCAGACAGGACACAGGTTCACATGGGGAGATGACAGTGAGCTTCTAAAAAGAAGTAATAAGTAGTTTGATTTAAAAAAAAAAAGTGTATGAGAACATTGCTTTGAGTCAGGGGCCTGAGTTTGAATCTTCACTCTACCACTTACAATACGTCATGTATTATTCTATAAGCCTTACAATAATCGACTCAATGGATCCTCTCGACACTTATATGCAGTAGATGCTGTTAATATTCCCATTTTATAGTTAAGTGAACAGAGGCACACGCAAGTTAGTAACTTGCCCAAGACACAAGGTCGCGCCGCTGATAAAGTGACGAGCCAAGGTGAGCTAACAAATATTAAGATTCTCATAGCAGAGGTAATGGTATACCACTTATAAACATGTAGTAGGATATTTACAAATAAATATTTTATTGATAACATATTATCTTTTCTTTATAATGTCTTTTAATTAATTCAGGATTCATCAGGATAAAAAAGTATATCTGAAGCTAACAATTCTCTCCTAATTTGCTGTGGCAGGCAGTCATTCGATCCAATTTTCAGCAGCAATTTAGATTGAGTATGTGCGACATTATTTGCCATTATATTCAGCTCTAGGATATAGTTGATAAAAAAAAAAAAAAACCCAAAACATATCCCAAGCATCATTAGAGAATAAGTCTTTTTGGTATGTGTCTGATAAAAAAGAGCTTTAGAATAAACATAATGGAAGGGCCTAACTATATATGCATTTCAAGTACCATAGGTGGTCCTGATAAATTATTCTAAAATAATTTAGCACATTTACAGGAGAAATGAATACAAGCGATAAAATAACATTCTGAGAATGGCTACAGAAAAAAACCAAAAAACAAATAGTTCGTGTCCCCAAATACCTATGAATTTCATTTTGCCTTAAAGAGCATACTTGGTTGAGAGTCTGCATTGTGCGAGGAATATTGCTCTGTAATAACTGGACGATTTTGCTGAATTCAGCTTCTGGCATTGAATCTGGACATCAAGTCCAGTCGCAGGGTAAACATATCATCACTGCTAATATTGAGAGAGGTTGGAAGAAGAGGGCATGAACTCAAGAAAAATAAATGAAAATGAGATAAAAAAAGAAAGGTGAATGCAGAACCTGATCAAGTAACATAGAACAAAAAATAAAGTGAAGAAAGAATGCTCAAGACCATTTTTATCACATGAAAAGGAAGATAAAAAATAGTGTAACACTGATGTATTATATGTTGGCTAACTGAATAAAATAAAACAATTAAAAAAATAGTGTAACACATTCCAAATAGCAAAAGTCCAGGGATAAGTAAGAAAAATGGCCATGTCTCTGTAGATAGATAAATATTTAAGAATATAGTGACTTCAAATATGTGACCCCTGCTGGGGATGAAAAATATTTATTGTAGTGATTATTTTTTATATTTCTGGTTTTTATTATCAATGAATACTTTTGTAACATATGATAACTTTTTAAATATTAAAGACATTATAAATATATTTGAAATATAACTTCATGGTACCTTCTCAGCTCTGTCAATCTCTTCTACTATATAACACAAGTGATTTTTGTACACACCATACCCTCAAGGATAAGTCACTTTAGTCTATGTGCTGCCGAAGCGAGCACTTGGATAAGTCACTTTACAAAGAGTGCTTTAAAAATTTTTGTTCTGAAACAGATCTCTGCTAGAGTTTTGTCATATTTCTTTTCTTTCCTGAAAGTCAGGCAAATTAATTTAAGAGGGATAAAACCAGTTTTCTGATATGAACTTGAGTCATTATTGGTAAATACACATCAATTTAAGGGGGTCAGCAGTATAGATCATGCATAAAACATCATACTGAATAGTTAAATGTGATAAAAGCAAAATGAATGTTTATGTGAGGCAACTGGGTTTCATTTACTCTCTTTATAACATCATTTGAAATATATATATATATATATATATGGCATATGAATTTATAGGAGAAATCAATTATATTATTATGTGTATATACTCCTCCCGTTAGTAACACACTAACGTATCACAGTTTCAGAGAAATGTACCCTAGAGAAAATGCTGCTATTCTTCATGGAAAAATCCATGAATAACATTATGCAAAAATTAATTTATGATAAATGATTTAAATCTAGAACTCGGAATAGCTTATTCAAATGCCATCAGAAAAGAACACCTCACCCGCAAAAAGGAGTCTAGGGATCCATTCTCCATATATTCCACCACAATCATTACTGGTCTGCCTGCAAAAAGAGCAAGGGAACACACAAGGATTAGAGCAATTACAGAAAGATGTGCTGCAGTTAGAGATCTCCAGCTGTGGCAGCTAAATTATTTGTATTTTATTAATAGGAACTTCATTTTCCAACATGCTTCTACAAAAGTCTTAATATTATACATAGGCATCTCTCCATTTTTTATAGCATTATTTCTGTTGAGTTCATAAAAAGAACACGAATTACAAAGGAATTAAGAATTTCCTTTTCTAAAGCCCTGCCATCGGTTATTTAGATTATGTTCTCTTTGTCCTGAGCTTTTCCTTAAAAGACCGGCGACAAGCACAAGTGAGGCTTCACGTAGTTACCGAGGCTGCTCTGGCAGTTGTGGTAACTTCTAGAAACGTTAGACCGGGCATTTCTGAAATATTCCTAAGGCAAAGCAGAGAGGAGAAATTTATAAATTCTCTTTAAGAAATTATAAAGCATCAGTCATAGTCTGCTTTTAAGGGCTTCTAAGTGGAAAAATGTCAGCAGATTGATGAATGCCACAAAGTTGGTGGGCTCTGCAATAGTTCCTGATCATATCTTTATTGGACATAGATTAGATCAACATAACAATGATGACAGTACATGAAAAATAAGTAACTCTGACTTTATAGTCTAGTAAGAAGCTAAAATCCGAAACTGAACATCATTTATTTCTTCTTTATCATATCTATTGGCAACTGTTACAGTTCCCAATACCTCTATTAGGTAGAATATTTGACATAAATAACTTAGATTTGTTTCAAAGAAAAGAATCTATTTGTTCTGCCAAATTGCTCAAGTTTAAAAGATAAACTCATTTCAGATGAAGGGAAAATGATATTTACCTGAAATAAACATGTATGACACATTTACTTTTTACTTCTGTATTTCTTGCTTCTCATTGAAATTTTTAGCAATTGAATCTGCACTGTGCACAGACGTTTTCCCTCATGAGTACAAAAAAAATCTGGAAAGAAATTATGTGTACCAATGATGGAAATATTAGATCTCATCTTGTAATTCATGTCCCTTTTATGAACTCAAAGCCTTATGGGTTAAAAAGGCTGACTGTAACAAATTAGTACAATGTCTGCAAAGGCTAGATTTTATATTTGAATCTATATTTTAAAGAAAGATGTGCTAAAGGTTAAATGTAGTAACAAAACTCCCAATTTATCATGCATAGTACCAGAATCCAAAGAAATTTTCCATTTTGGTGGATTTCCATAATGTTCCTCAAAGTCATTAATTTCACCCAAATATAGATACAGAACTTTATCAGAAAATCCTGAGGTCAAATGAAGTGTCCACACTCTTGTAGCGAGGATCTAGAAGATCCAGGTTTTAAATCTGACGGTTTGTCATGAAATCTTTTATTTGACTATTGGTTTTAGAGAGCTTGGAGATAGGAGCCTGATGGATGCAAACACTTGGTTAGCAAGATAGGGAAAATAAAAAATCATTTTTTATACTTAAATATGAAAGTTCTGAGACCAGTATTCCAGTTTCAATGATAATGGATCATGGAAGTTAAGGGGAAACACTGGGTTACTACAGAGGCTGCCTGGGTTCACCTGCCCAGAGTCACATCATTTTAACCTACCTTGGCCATTGCTGCCAGAGAAACATGTTTAGTTTAATAAAATATATACTCTCCCTAAGAATGTCAGTCTTGATACAATAAAAAAACTTGCAAGCACTTCCCTTGTATTGATACAAATTATTATTAGCCCTATTACACAGATACAGAAATTGGAGGATAGAAAATTACTTGCCCAGAGTCAAGCAGCTGGTAAGGCAGAGTGTCTCAGAACTTAAGCTCTTAACTTTTATGCCATAGGTGCCTCTCAGACATAATTTATAGATCAAAGCTGTAAGGTTCATCCTCCCATGCTGGACCTCATCTCTCCTAACTAGCCCTACTGTCTCCTGTTCCATTAGCTGTCATTATCATCTATACTGGTTCAATCCTCTGCTTTTCCTTTTGGTATTCCCCTGCCAGGATAATCTACCGATTTGCTTCTCTCCCTAATCTCATCCCACACCTTCCCAGAATTTATATACTGCACCTCTTCCTTGAAAGTCCCCATGGTGATATTTCCTATAGTGGCATTCCCATCACATCTACTGTCTGCATTATGAAATGTTGTGCCTGGTTCTATGTTAGGTTGTTTTTCTCTCTTAACTTCCCATAGATGCTATGTATCCCCATTCACTAAGTTTCTCAAAGCCATGTCCCATAAACCTGAGCAGAGTAGTTGCTTTATAGTGACGAGATGATTTTTCTCAATGATTTTCCTAATTCCTCAAAGGGTAACACTGAAGTATTTGAGCAAGATCCTAATCTATGTGAATACCAAGTACTTTGAAATAGGTTCTATCTATAACTCCTTGGGAGATACTTTAGGCAATCTTGAAATTCATCAGTGATAAGTTTCATCTTCTCATTAAGGATAATAAAGAGTCAAATGAAGACTCCCCCAGTTTCTTGTGAATTAGAAGTTTCACACCTGAGCTCTGCATCTTTTGTATTTTGTGCAGTCACATCAATTTAGAGCTGCTATTATTAAACTAAGGGGCTGTTTTATTAGAATACTGCTGGCATCTAACCTGTAATTTGTTTCCTAGTGATTTTCTATAGGGAGGTTAGCTACACTGTGAAGATTACAAGCAACCTTACAGTCTATGATCATATTTTATAATCAACAAAATAGATAAGTATAAGGGAAATTATGACAGGATGGTATTCAAATATGTGGCTAGGTGACAGAAGTCTATTGGTAAACAGTGCTTTGTCTTATTTTCAAGTATGTAAAAATTACATAATACATTATTGCTCTTGGAAAATATATTTGGAGGTGATTAATTCTTTTTATATTTTCAAGATATTTCAGCTTTTTTCACCTTTTTTTTTTTTTACAATTTTAGCCAGTTTCCCAAAGACCTCATGTCACAGAATTAACTTAGTATGTGCACTGTACTGAAGTCAGAGGACAAACTCCAAGATTCTTGAATGTTAGTCAAGCCTCAAAATCCCTAGACCTTTTTTAGAAGCCTCATCAGTTTGCTTTAAGAGATTTTGAAAACCACTTCTACAAATCACACAAAAAGTGAATTTCTTTCATTTTCCTTCAAAAATAGCCCAGAAATGGTTATGTATATCTTAAACTGCACTGGAATCAAAACCTTGGAAGAAATCACTTATTTATATCCTGAACACAATGAATCACAAAATCCCAGATCATCTTTTTCCTGTTAGAGAGAAAAAATATTTTCTTTAATTGGGACTTCAATGGACTATTGACTAATGCTTTTTTTTTTTTTTTTTCCTTCCAAATCTGCAGTTGCCCAATACTTAAGATGATTTTGATATGGGTGGTGTTGAGAAATCACATGATGGTAAGAGTATATTTTTCTTGTGTTGTTAAAGAAAACAGAAGAAAAGCATTCTTCAAATGTTCTAAGGAAACTTGGAGAAAATATTTTGTGAGTGAAATAGCGTTTTTGTTTGTTTGTTTGCCTCAAGAAGGTCTGTGAAAGAAGGGGATTACAGAAATTTAATATTTTCATAAAAGTAATGAGTTTTTGCTGGATATAGTATTTTGTATCGGCTTGGCCATTTCTAATATGCTGTCAGTAATATTAAAAATCTAAACAAATCTCAATGACCTCCAAACTCTGTTACAGATTTAAATCAATTCTAGCTTATTTAACATTATATCATGTCTATATTTTCTCTACCATGTAATAAAATTTGTGGTGATAACTTGGATTGACAGTTAGGTTGCTTGTTTTTTTTCCCCCAATTGCAATTCCAGATATTTGGAGCCAGTTATTTTTAACCTATTTCTACGTCCCCCATTTCTGCTGTAGAGATAGTGAATTACAGTTATAATCTCAAATGGATTTGAGAATAAATAATTTTCTTATCCCTCTAAGGCATTCAAAAATATGGATGCCATAAATTTGAACAAAGTTATAATATATTTTCATTCACAAGATAGGTACTAAAACTGGGGAATGATTTTCCCTTAGACTGTTGCCTGGTCATTATCAGATTGTGTCCCAAACGAATCTTATGCTCAAGTGAATTCAAATCAAGTCTTTTAACATTTCCTCTGAACTCTCTTTCCCTCCTATATTCCTGTTGGGATTAAAACATCCCTATCTGGAGGAGGAGCAAGGTGGCAGAGTAGTAGGAGACCTAAATTTCATCTGGTCCCAGGAATTCGGCTAGATAGGGATCAAACCATTTTGAACACCTACGAACTCAACAGGAGATTGAAGAAAAGAATAGCAGCAACTCTCTGAACAGAAAAGCGACCACTTTCTGGAAGAGTCATATTCTATCCCTTCATAGTAGTTAACCTTATTTTTGGTATATATATATAAGTTGTTCTCTCTTTAAAATTTTGGGATACAGTTTCTTCTAACAGACCAAAATATACCCTAAATCTCTAGTGTATGGCTTTGTTCTAGTCTCTTGCCTGATTACATTATCTCCTTTTTTTTTTTTAAATTTCTCTTCTTTCTTTTTTCAACCAACTTCTTATCAATTCCTTTTATAAAATCTTTTATAATTTTCATCTTTACAGTCATATTCCATCCCTTCATAGTATTTACCCTTATTTTTGTACATATATAAGTTTTTCTTTCTTTAAAATTTTGGGAGGCAGTTTCTTCCAACAGACCAAAATACGCCCAAAATCTAGTCTGTGGCACTAATCTATTCACCAGCCTGATCATATTCTTTTTTTTGGTCTTTTTCTTTTTTTTTTCTTTCCCTTTCTTTTCCCACAGTTTTGGTCTCTTCTGATTTGTTTAGTGTATATTTTTGGGGGGTTGTTATTATGCTGTTAGCATTTTGTTCTCTCATTCAACTATTCTCCTCTGGACAAAATGACAAGACGGAAAAACTCACCTCAAAAAAAAGAACGAGAGGCAGTACTGACTGCCAGGGACCTAATCAATACGGACATTAGTAAGATGTCAGAACT